TACCTGCCTCCTCCGCAAGCCCTCGTTGTGTCATGGGAAGGTCACGATTTCGAGAGGGCCTGCGGAATCTTGTAAAATGAATAAATGTTGTTTTGAACCTGCTTCGTTTAAGAAGGCAGTTTTATTCGTGCAACGTTGGTGTGGACAACAAACCTTATCGTTAAAAAATGCTTCCTTCCACGTCCTTAGAGTCGCCAGTTTAATTTACAAGTTTCACGCCGCTTTTTTATATCTGTTTATATTCAAGATTATGTAGAAATTTACTTGCTGACGTGACGCCGGCGCCATTTTTTTACAAGATTCCGCAGGCCCTCGCCAGATCGTGACCTTCCCATGACGCAACGAGGGCCTGCGGAGGCAAAGGGAGTGCAAATTCATTTTCAGATCACACAGAGCCAAAATATACACTTAACGTCTGTCGTCTGTCAATGATAACACCGTGGTCAAATGTAAGGCGTATGCACGAGTATACAGAAAATGACGCGGAAAATGTCTGCCAAAATTATAGGAGTAAATACGGGAATAGAAAAGCGTTTACTATAAGGAAACGGCTGAAACTATAAGATAGAGATTTTCACCACTTTTTCCTTGTGTCAAGACGACGTTATATTATACTGAGTTTAAACTCTCGTAATTTTCTGTAAACGTTTTGCTGGAGCTTCGTAAAAACAATACTATTTCCAGTCTTTCGACTGCAAGCAGTAAATTCGCGGACGTTTGCAAGCTGGCGGTTTTAAGGGTTGGGGTTGAGGCGTGGGAAAGGCGAAAATGCTGGCGAGAAAAACTTAAAGTGATTTTTTATTAAGTATAAATTGTTCTTTTAGTATGGCCTATATTCTAAAACTTTTCCCCATTCTTAGATCAAGGTTTTTCTCGCCCGCATTTTCGCCTTTCCCGCGCCTCGCCTCCCTAATTTTCACCAATGTTTGAATATTAAGAAATGCTAGTTGTTGGCCGGTCATCTGGACTATTTAATCAGTTCTACATATAGTATGTCATTCGTCTCTTCAAAGCTTTCGTAAACAATTTTTCACTGAAATACAGCCGAGTGACTGATTGTTCCTCGCGCCTTTCGATTCCTGGGTTGCAAATTGCACTCCCATCCTGTACACTGTAGATGAGGTTGCGAAAATTTACAATCACAACTCTCATTCACTATATTGTAGCTCTTTCATAACCACTGCTAACATGGAATGTTTCACACAAATACACCCTGTTGACTTATTGTTCCTCGTGCCTTTCAATTCCTGGGTTGAAACTAACTAACTGGCATCCTTTAATACAGCCATCTGGAGAATACTTAGACTTGGCTATAGAGCCACGTTTCCGTGTTTGAGACATTGGCTTAAAAAGACCTTTATCTTGTTACTGATTACAAAATTATAAACAGGTCTTTCATATTCACTGATATAACTGCATGGTTTCGTAAATGTGTCATCTGCAGCAAGGTGAAGGCCTTTAAACCTAATATCTCAATCGCGAAAACAAGGCTTTCTAGTCCAGACTGAGCACTTTCCGTAAGGGTTAGTTACTGTAGGTCCGGTTGCAAAAATTTGCAATCACAACTGTCATTTAAAAATTATGTGACCTTTTCAAATTCAGTATCATTAACATTCCTATATGCGCAGGTCAATTAAACGTAGTTTGTTTTGTATTACACTGTTATAGATAACGGACAAGCCTTCTCACTATGGGAAAGAGTAAGTTTACAAAATTCGATAGACTTGTTCTCTCACTCTCTCTGTCTAAATATTAAATACATTGGCATTCTTCCAGTGTTCAATATAACAGTTGGCCACCGGTGCATCGGCCACTCTCCGAACAAAACGCCAGTTATATTATATTGAATTTATTATATTATATTACATTATATTTAAGCCTGGTTTTGTCATTGATTCTCTTTTCCTGACAGATGCAAATAAACGAACTCGCATACAAAAGTATACTAGATGCATGTGTAATATAATCGCTTTTCAGTAGTAAACATTTCCAAGGCTTTTTGCATATAATCACATCAGCCAACAAAGTTGCTAGTGCTAACCAGGCTTAAATTAACTTAATTGCAATGCAATTAATGTACTGTACAACTTTTCTATTTTTGAGTCCTGTACATAATTAGTGTCTGATCATGATCGACCAAAACTTGGACTGGTCATGAGACATGGCTCTGCAAGCTAAGCTATATAGATTAGGTATACCCCTACTCCCCTGCATGCCCTAAAATAGCAGCACCCGAAAACTACTAGATCCGAAACTATCGTAATTATATCTATTTCTATGTAGATTCCATGGATTAATATCACGAGAACAGGCAGACCAACTAGTATCTGCTCAGAGTGGAAGTTATTTAGTGCGTGAAAGTCAAAAAAGTCCTGGCTCATACGCATTATCCATGAGGTATAAATTAAAGTAACTAATCCCTGGGGAGGTGATGAATTATTGGGGTTGATTTTGTTAATTGTTTTCGTGGTGAATTCGATCACTAATCGATTCCGTTTACCCTCGACTAGTTTCGTGCGAAAACATGCTTTAGATAAAGCACTTTTTTAGCTCGCCTACACTTTATTAAAGCCATTTTGGCAGTGGAGTATTGCTGTAGTCTGGCGTCCGCATCCAGTGCAAATGATAAGTGAATGTTAGGATGCCATTCAATTTATGATTGGTTTGATTTTAACGTTTGTTATTTGTCGTATAAGAATGTGGCGTAACAGGGGGGTTAACATTGAACAACGCTTACAAAATGACAAGGTCAACGTTAAGATGTAAAAACGCACAAACACAATTACTGCTTATATATTAAAGGAAGTGTGCTTGAAAGTACCAAAGAGTGTTAAATAATGGTCTTAAATAATTAACATAAAATGATAAGATTCAGTCAGCGTGCAATAATTCAAGTTTTTTGTAGTCGTGCATTCCAACGGTTATTGAAAATATAGCTTTCAGAAATCTGTAATTAATGGACTCCATCTTAAACCCTACAGCACACATTGAGTCTTGCGTTTTGTACCGCATTCAGTAACTTTAAACTACGAATTAGAACAGTGGCGGATACTAGGGCTGCAGCGTCACAGCCTCC